TATCTATCTATCTATCTATCTATCTATCTATCTATCTATCTATCTATTTGTTGTTAAGGCTAAGTTTCACTAGTTAGCCTTGATTGGCCTGTAACTCACTATGTAGACCAAGCTGGTCTGGAACTCAGAGATCTGCCTACTTATACCAGCCAGGATTAAAGACATATACCACCATACCTGGCTTCTGATATTTTTTATTAATAGTTATGACTTGACAGTTAAAGACAAATTTACTCTACATTACATATACTCTCCATATGGAAGACTATATTAAACTTCCATATATTAGTGGTATGCTTTTACCTCGTGGAAAATAAAGAGAAGATTTTCCAAATCTATGGCAATATGCAGTAATTTATGGGATTTCTATTTTAGTAACTATTAAAGAGCTTTGTGATGAGTAAAAGATTTTACAATAAGAACTATTAAGTTCTACCTTGGATGTTTCAAAACCAGTATTATATCTTGTCCCTTTATTGAACAAACACCATAATCATGAGACAAAATATTAAATGTGTATGACTGACACTGCTGCCATTTAAAGTTCTCTATCTTCTAAGAGCTTCTTGAATGCATTAATTCTTTGATTTACTTAAAATATTCTGCAATTATGGTCATGCCCAGGGAAATACCACTGGGTCAAGTAAAAGCAACTACTATTAGATACAGTGTAGAGAAAACCTACAGAAAAATGAAACTGTTATAGCACAGCACAGCTAGATACGGCAGCATACCTTTTATCCCAGCACTCCAGAGGAGCCAGGTTGGTCTACATAGTGAACTTTGAGACCCTGTTTCCAAAAAAAACTTTTTAAAAATAAAAATAAAAAGGAAAAGAAAAAACCAAACCCTTTGTTACAGCACAGTCAGCGATATGTTTCAAAATGCAAATACTATTTTTAAAAAATTATTAAATAAATCTTTGAGAAAGGGTCTCCCCTTTCCATATACATAATAGATACTATATATGTATATATGTATGTGTGTATATATATATATATATACATATACACATACACTCACACACACACACACACACACATATATACACATATGTATATATTTATTCCTGGCTGGCCTGGAATTCCCTATGTAGACCAGCCTGGCCTTGAACTTAGAGAGATCCATTTACCTTTGCCTCCCAAATGCTGAGACTAAAGACTACCATATCTGGTAGAATTATCAAAGCTTCTAACATAGGTAACAGAGCAGGCTGAAAGAGAATGTGATTGTGATTGTGATAACTGCGAGAGGTATAGTGCTTCTTAAAACTTTTTATATAGGCCCAATCACAAAAACCCACTTTTACTGCATGTATATTCCTACTTAGCTGTAGAAAGCTCCTACGCAATTACTTAAAATAAACAATTTACAACCCTTAGACAAAACTAATTTCAAGCACCATGCCAAACATGAAAATCTGAAACACAAAGTGCTCTGTAATTCACATTTATAAGTGTTGACATAAGACTCAAAAGTTTTAATTTTGGATTTTCAAATTGGGGCTCTCAACTGGTTAAGTCCCCACAAAGATTTCAAAATGTGAGACTTAAAATTTTTTTCAACTCTTTATCATTTATGATAGAGCTAACCCCAGAGTTATACAAACTACTCTCTTCAGAAAAAAAAAAATCACAGCTATCTCCCTGGATAATGCCTGTTTCGGGCATTATAGCACCTGGGATATTTTCATGAAGATTAATAAAATATCTATAAAGTAACAAAACCAGCATACAAAGCAAAGAGAAAGAACTTCCAATTCCAAAGCAACAGTTCCTTTTTCTAAGTACCTCACACCACTGTACAACCAATATACGAAGTCAAGCTGCAAATTCCATCTCCTGAAATTCTGCAACCAATTCTAAGGTATGAATTCCTACTGTAAACATTATGAACCCAACAACTTATAAGAACTTCGGCATAGGTTATTCTTCTAGGACAAAGATGAGGAACTAAGGAGGTAGGTTTTCACTGAAGGAACCTGCTGTGATTAACCCCTAACCAAGGTAGGAAATGTACACTGGGGAGAAGCATCTTATCTTTAGTTTAAAGGGCTGCTAAAACAACATAGAGACCAAGGACACTGTCTGTACATGTTCTAATGAAGAAAAATTATAAATGTTTGGATAATAAGCTACTGGTTTACATCTTAAATGTGAACGTCCCCACCAGTTTTTGAGACAGGGTCTCACTATGTATCCCTGACTGGCATGAAACTCATTATGCAAACAAGGCTGGCAGGAACTATAAGAGATTGGCTTGCTGAGAATGAAGTGTGATACCACACCCGGCAATCTAAATTCCTTTATTAAAACAACCAAATATTCACAAAACTCACAGAATTATTTAAAAAAAAAAAAGACATAATTTTGAGACTCAAGGAACTTAATCTGATAAAGTGAGCCTAAAAGACTCATTTGGGAGATTTAAGTCAGAGTGCCAATAAGTATTAAAAAGGGAAGTGGTGGTATACTTAAAAAATTGATTTGCCTAGTAATCTAATGGAAGAAACAATGGAAATACAAAAACATGTATTTTCCCTCCAACAACAAACTCAGTTAATAAATACCCTCAGTTTATAGGTCATCTCACCTTACTAATGTTCCGAAAACACTGATGCCACTTTGCAGGACATCTGGTATCCAATAGTAACCAAACATTGGAATCTTATTTCACTTCTGGTGTACTGTCAACCTGGAAAGGGAGCAAGGGCATCTCTGGAGGAATGAGTGTATAAAGTAGCACTGGACATGTGGATGCACTGAAGGAGACGGGCTTTCTGATTCTGCTGAAGGTTAAATGTACCCAAGATAATCAGCAGTTACAAAGAACACCTTTTTCCCTTTCAGTTTTGGCTGGCCTAAAACTCAGGAACCTCTCATCCCAGCTTCCCAACTGTATAGATTACTAGCGTGCACTACTATGCCTACCTTGTAGGAAACATTTTTAGAAACTATCATAATAACCTGTACCTTAGCAAAAGAGAAGATATGTAATTAAGAAACAGATATTCATTCAGGAAGAATTTATTAATATAGTGGCACACAACTTTAATCTTAGTATTTGGGAGGTAGAGGCAGGATCTCCTGTAAATCTAGGTATATAGCAAGACCCTATCTTAAAAAAGATTGACTCTTCACTAATTAAAACATAAAAGAGATTATGTGGATAAGGAAAAGAATTGAAGCTGGATGTAGCTATGCAGGCCTTTAATCCCAGCACTTGGGTGGCAGAGACAAGCAGACATTTGTGAGTTCCAGGACAACCAGAGCTACACAGTGAGATACTGTGTTTTGGGGTGGGGGAGGGATGGCAACAACAAAAACAGTAACAACAACAAAGGAAGGAAAGAAAGGAGAGAGGGAAGAGTTGGAAAGATGGCTCAGTGGTTAAGGGTATTTGTTCTTGTAGAAGACTGACATTTTCCAGCACCCACATGGCAGCTCACTAATATCTATAACTCCATTTACAGGGTATCCAATACCCTCTTCTAACCTTCAAGAGCACCAAGCACATGTGGTGCACATACATACACATTCACACATTCAAGCATGCACACACGCAAAAAGGAAAAACATCCACATGTAAAATAAAATGATAATGGAACTGTTTCTAAGAATCCCTAATCCTCAAGACTGATGCATGTCTCTTTTTGACATTGCAACATAATGTAGTCATCATATCAATTGCAAAATTTTAAAAAATACCATAATGTCCTAAGCTATGTTTATAATTTTGTATTAGACCACATTCAGAGCTATGCATGTGGCTTGAGAGCCTCAGGTTGGACAAGACTGGTAGAGAGATTTTCCTGCTTTATAAAACCAATGTAAAGCAAGCTTCCTTAAATAGAAAGATGTGCTGAGAAATCCAGAGAAGGCTATTAAATTCTACACAAAATGTAAACAAAGTTTTTGTGTGTATGTACAGTTTCCTACTTAATAAGTTTTAAAAAATCAGTGAAGTGAGATTATGTCAATGGGGCTGGAGCAATGGCTCTGAGGTTAGGAGCACCTGTTGTTCGCATAGAGAATCCAGATTCAGTTCCAAACACCCACATGATGGCTCACAACTTAATTCCAGTTGCAGGAGATCTTAGGCCCTCTTCTGACCTATGAGATTAACATGTACACACATGCTGCATATAAATACATGCAGGCAAGATACTAAGACACATAAAACAAAAATAAATTTATTTTAAAAGATATATTATAAATACAACTGCAATACTCAACTATATTTTTACTTAAAATGAAATTTCAGGTCAATTTTTCAATTTACAAAGCTCGTTTTATAGTTAAGATTTAAACAGTAGCAGTTTACTTTTCTAAAACTTGTCTAATAAATTGTAGTTTCACAATACATTTCTAAACTATTTAACTAAAACTCACTCCCACTTCAGAATTAAAGAGGGCAATAGGTTGCCTTAACCTTATTTCAAATTTAATGTGATAAGGGAATACAGAAATATTTTAAGAGTAACTTAAAATGACATTGAAATTAAGATTAATATAAGACAAGCAGACACTGTGTCATTTGCCACCGAAACCAACCTTTTCTATAAAAGACTGCATTGAGGAACTCTTCTGCTTGTCTCTGGAGTCGAGTGACTTTTGCGTGCTCTTGTTTAAGCAAAACTTCTTGCCCAGCTCCAGAAGCTGGCTCATCCAGACCGACTAAGTGTCCCTGCAAAAATATTGCGTGAAATGTTTGTTCAAAAATCTCTCCCCATTCAAAAGTCCAAAGTACAGATGCATAAAGGCAAATGTTATTAGCCAGTAAGACAAACTAGTATAACACAATTAAAATATTTAAAAACTGTTTAAATACTTAAACTCTGTTTGTAGATAACTATTGTAATGGTAGCTCTCAAATCTTTACTGAATTGTTAAATTGATAAGTCAAAACCAGCACTATGATAATAAACTGAAACAACACACTTCCTGTTCCAAGTACATTTCAGTATTTTTAGCACATTCAAGCACATTACATATGTGCTTGAACATATATCCAGTAAGATGGGGATTAAAAGTTTCTAAAATGCTGCAATTAAGTTATCCTTGAAACTCCCAACATTACTCCCAGATTGCACTGCTAAGCGGACAGTGCTCTCTGCACGTATTTCCAGCTTTGCCTCTCACAGGTAAGTTGGAGACCAGAACAATGACGGTGACCACAGAAAATAAGATAGAAAAGAAACAGTATACCTTCTAAGCATCCTTTAAGTCCTATGCTCATATTTCTTCTACATGACTAGTATATAAACTCATGCACTTACTTTCACCACAAACTACTTATGAAAACTTTTTAACAAGTAGGTCACACTTTGCACAATAAAATGTACATAAGAATTGAGAGCATATTATAATTCACAAATCTCAGAAATTTAAAATATACCCAATAATGTTTGCAACCACCTTTTTTGATTTTTTCCAATTATAACTACCATCATTCCTATTTGTTTCATATTTAAACACTCTCATCAGAATATTCAATGATACAACCCACCCATCTAACATAAAACCCAATAGATTTTACTCTTATCTATAAATTGTTATCATCACAATGTGAGTATTTTTATCCCTTTAATACTCAACTACCATCCCCCTCTGGTTCCTCCAGGTTCTAAGCAGCCAGTTACGCTTACTGTGGCCATTTCATTTAAATGGAGTGGTGTGTGTGTGTGTGTGTGTGTGTGTGTGTGTGTGTGTGTGTGTTTGAGAGGGGATGATATTTTCTCCTAGAATATAACTTCAAGGTTCATCTGTATCATAGCCCATGTTGGCATTTTTTAAAAACTACTAAATGAACATTCTATTTTAAGGCTATACCACATTTTATCCATTCAATAGCTGATGACTATTTGGGCAGTCTCTACTTTTCTATCACATGAGTAATGAGAATATTAACTGCCCTAGTTTTTGTGTAGATGTCTATTTTCATTTTCTTAGCTACACAGTTAAGAGGTAAATTCTGAATCATATGTTAACAGTATTTAGCACTTGAAGAAGTGTCAAAGTAGCTATACTTATACTCACAATGAAAATGTATAAAGTGGACTGGAAAGATGGCTAGGCAGTTAGGAGCACTGGCTGTTTTTCCAGAGGTTCAGAGTTCAAGATCCAGCACCCATATGGTGGCTCACAACCATTTATAATGGGACCTGATGCTCTCTTCTGTCAGGAAGGCATACATGCAAATAGAGCACTCAAATACGTAAATAAACAAATCTTTAGAAAAAAGGAAATGTATAAAGTTTTTAAGTTCCTCGTGTAGTCATGAGTGTTTTAAAATTATCCATCCTAAGAAAAAAGGTGCTATGTATGCCATGCTTTTTGTGGTGATTTGAATAGGTTTGGCCCCCATAAACTCATGTTTTTAAATGCCTGGCCCAGAGGGAGTGGCACCATTAGGATGTGTGGACTTGCTGGAGGAAGTGTGTCACTGTGGGGGCCAGCTCTGACATCTCGGATGCTCAAGCTACACCAAGTGTAGAAGTGTGTCTCCTCCTGGCTGCCTGCAGAAGACAGTTTCCTCCTACCTTTGGATCAGGATGGAGAACTCCGGGCTCCTCTAGCACCATGTCAGCCTGCCTGCTGCCAGGCTTCCTGCCATGATGATAATAGACGGAGCCTTTGAAACTGTAAGCCAGCCCCAATGAAATGTTTGCCTTTATAAGAGCTGCCTTGGTCATGGTGTCTCTTCACAGCAATGGAAATCCTAATGAAGACACTTTGGTTTAGGTTAGTATCTTTCTGATGTCAAGCTTTTTCTGTGTTCTTTGGTCATCTGAATACTTCTTTGAAGATTCAGAGAATCTGCACACTTTTTAATTAGACTATGTGTTTTTTTAACTTTTATTAATTACACTTTATTCACTTTGTATCCCCCCACAAACCCTTCCCTCTTCTCCTCCCAATCCCACCTTCCCTCCCCCTTCTTCATGTCTGCCCTTCCCCAAGTCCACTGATAGGGGAGGTCCCCCTCTCCTTCCTTCTGATCTTAATCTATCAGATCTCATCAGGAGTGGCTGCACTGTCATCCTATGTGGCCTGGTAAGGCTGCTCCCCCCTCAGGGGGAGGTGATCAAAGAGCAGGCCAATCAGTTCACATCAGAGGCAGTCCCTCTTCCCATTACTATAGAAGCCACATGGACACTGAACTGCCATGGGCTACATTTGTGCAGGGGTTCTAGGTTATCTCCATATGTTTTGTTTTTTTTTTGAGACAGGCTTTCTCTGTGTAGCCTTGGCTCTCCTGGACTTGCTTTGCAGACAGGCCTGTCTCTGCCTCCCCGAGTGCTGGGATTATAGGTGTGTGCCACTGCACCCAGCTTAGACTATGTTTTTATTGTTAAAAGTGATTGATATATTCTATATTCTATAGGCACATAAAAGTGTTTTCTCTATGTTTCATTAATGCTGCTTTAGCAGCATGTAAGTACTTGTGTTCATGAGTGCATGCATGTTTTAGTAGTACAGAAGCTCTAACACAGGCCTCACATTTGCCAGGCAAATGCTCTATTTCTCAGCTACATGCCCAACCCCTTCTCCCTCCTTTAAAGGTATGTATGCACGCATATGTGCACACAGGGAAACCAGAAGAGGATATCAGATTCCCTGGGGACCAGGATATCAGATTCCCTGGGGACCAGGCATGCAAGTGGTACACAATCATGCAAGCAAAATAGCAATACATACATATAAAGACATCACAGACACAACTTAAGTTTATATATATCATAAAGTTTTACTTCTGCCCTCCCCCTCATATTTAGATGGTATTGCTTTTAGCTGTCAAATTACCCTAATTAGAACCTTCTAAAATGAAGTACTGAGTACAGGTGGTACTGTTATTCCTCATCTTCAGAAGAAGCTGTTCTCAGGCTTTTGATATTAAGTAAGAGTACTTTTGTGGCAACTTCTTTAAAAAAAATCTCTTATTTCTAGCTTTTAAAATTAAAAAAAAATAGTGTTTTGGTCACATATTTAGTTATCTACAAAGACAACTGCTTAACTTCTGCCATTTATTTCAGTAACACATCGCATTCCATGAACTGATCTTGGGATATTAAACCAGCCTTCCAACTCTGAGGTGCACCTCACTAGATCATGGTATATTTGAGCTTTTATATGCTGTTAAATACTAAGGACTTTTCACATTTGTATTCCTAACTGATAGCGTTCTATAGTTTTCAGTGATGATTCTGCCTGGTTTGATATGGATGACAGTAGACTCCTAACAAGAGTATCTTCCCTCTCATAAGGGAAAAAGTTAGTTGAGAACTAGTGTTAGGTTGGCTGTTGGTACGCACACCTTTAGTCCCAGCACTCTGAAGGCCAGCCTGGTCTACAGAGTGATTCCAGGACAGCCAGGGCTACACAGAGAAACCCTGTCTCGAAAAACAAAACAAAAAAAGAATTAGTATTAATACTTTAAATATCTGGTAAAACCAGAAGCCATGGTTTTTCTTTAATAATTATTGTTCTCTTTTCTTTGTTTTAGGATTTTTGTCTATATGAGTGTTTGCCAACATTCATGCATATTGCTGGTACACATAGAATTCAAAAGGTCTTATCAGATCCTGTGGATCTGGAGTTACAGGTTTGTGAACCACTATGTGAATGCTGGGAACCAAACCCGAGCCAGTGCACTTTCAGGCCCCAGACTATAGCCTTTGTGTGTTTGCCTTTACCAATTCCATCTCTTCATTTGTTCTAGGCTGTTGATTTCCTAGGGCTGCTTTAATATATCACCGTAAGGCTCAAGCAGAAGAGGTCTACTCTCACAGACCTGGAGTCTACTTGTCCAAAATCATGATGTCTACAGAGTTCTTTTCTTTCTGAAGGCTCTACAAGTCCTTTCATACTTGCTTCTACCTTGTAGTGACTGCTGACATCCCTTGACATTCCCAGTTTTATGATGATATAATCAAACCTCTGCTTCTATCTTTATGTGCCCCTTTTCCCTCTTTATGTTTGTCTGTCTCTCCAAGTCTCTAACCTTATAAAGACACCAAGTCATTGGATTCAGGGACTACACTGATCCAGCATCACTTCACTTTAACTTGATTACATTAAGACCCCAAAGATCTAATTTCTAAATAAGTCACACTCGTACGTACTGTCAGTTACTATTCTTTTTTAACATAATTTTTGGGAGACAAAATTCAACTCACAATAAAGATTTATTCATATGTCTCAATAAATCAATTTTTAGTATCTAATGCCTTTCTTGACATTTACCCCATCAAGTTATTTAATTTTTTAACATATAAATTATTCAATAGCATTTCCCATGTTTTATTGTCATAAGGTTGGAGGTAATTCCCCCATTTCTCATTCATGATTAGTCCAGTCCAGTTTTTTAATCACCAATTTATCAATCTTGTTAATGTTTTCAAAGAACCAGTTTTCAGTTTTTCTTTTTTAGTCTTTTTATTTTACGTGTGTGAGTGTTTTGCCTGTTCGCAGGTATTGTGCACTGCATGTATGTAGTGCCCACAGACGCCAGAAGACGACACAGGATCCCCTGGAACTTAAATTAACACAGTTGTGAGCCACAATGTGGGTCTTGGGACTTAAACCGAGGTCCTCGGGAAAAGCAGCCTTTAACTACTGAGCCATTTCTCTAGTCCCTTGATTTTTTTTCTCTCTATCAAATTTTCTATGCCATTTTATTTATGT